ACCATCCCCACCTAATCATCCCAGCCAAGGCTTTGTCTAGCTGAGTCTTAAAAACCTCTAAGGATGGAGAGTCCACAACCTCTCTGGGTAATCTGTTCCTGTGCTTTAACACCCTCCTTGTGAGAGAGTTTTTTTCTAATATCTAACCTAAACTTCCCTTGCTGCGACTTGAGACCATTGCTCCTTGCTCTGTCATCTGCCACCACTGACAACAGTCTAGCTCCATCCTCTGTGGAACCCCCCCTCAGGTAGTTGAAGTCTGCTATTAATTCCCCATTTAGTTTTGTCTTCTCCAAACTATATAAGCCCAGTTCCCTCAGCCTCTCCTCAGACATCATGTGCCCCCAGCCCCCTCACCATTTTTGTTGAACTCCACTGGATTCTCTCCAATTTGTCACTTCCTTTCTGTAGTGGGGCCCCCAGAACTGGACACAATAAGTAAAGGAGGAATTCATGTAAGTTACAGGCTAATTTATCATCTCCATTTCTTCCTCCATTCAGGGATATTTACAGGGAGTAAAAACAGGCCATCAGATTTCTCTCAAGGCAGAACCTTTTATTCTGGGATCCTACAGACTCATTATCCCACTTTAAGTATCTGCAAAATATCTGAGGGTGGAAACAGATGTTGCCTTTCATTGCCTTTGTGCTGCCATAACAGTTTTTCAGGTGGCACAAAGTAAAGGCAAATAGATATGCACACCCTTTGTCATGCCACAGTATAGTCACAACAAAAGGTAGTAATAATTTGTGCTGTTTTATTCAGACATGTGAGGCAGAAAAATTTTCCAGTGCTTTATTTTTCCATGGAAAATTTTCCATTTCTAAAAATTCATTGTTTCATAAAATTCATTAGTAACAATGAATGGATGCCAACACACTATTAGGCAAGCTTGGCAGTTTCAAAGTTGTAATTAATGTTTTTCAGGTGATTATCCCGAGTAAGTGTGAGAGAGAGTACATATATGTTTTATTGATTTGTAAACAGGGTAAATGCACTCAGAGAATAATCCAAACCAAAAATCAAGTTATGAATTCACCTAATTGGCTCTGCAGGTCAAATCAAAACCAAAGGAGCGCACCGCTAAGCTTATTTCTAGTTCTCAGAACCTCTTGCTTCTGGAGAATCAGTCAGAAGCACAATTAATGAAGAAGATGCAGTGTAATGATAAGTTGCCCTTGCCCATAGACTCATTGGTAAAAGCATCCTTTAACGAAAGAGAATGTGGTTCAAGTAGTTCGGAATCAGATTTTCCTCAATCTGATTCTGAAATGGAACTAATAAGTAGTGCAAGTGATTCGGCAGATAGTGACAGTGAAACTGGAGGTGCCGCAATGACCTCAATGGAAGAGAGTTAAACTCTGTTGAAGTTGATCAGTGAACAACCATGGCATATCATGCACAGTTGTTTGGGTGTGTTAAAATTAGTGCGTCAACCAGGGCTGTGCAAAACAGCTGTTTCATTTCCGTTTTGGATTCGGCCATTTCGGAGGTACAGTGATTCGTTTTGGTGTTTTGGATCACTGTTCTGTTTCGATTCAGCCGAATCGGTTTTGGAGTTTTGATGCTGTATTAGCGCTGATTCAGAGATTCAGATCGGCTGGGGAGAGCTGTGGGTCCTCCAGCTGTGCCTGCCTCTCTCCAGGCAGGGGGAGCTGTGGGAGAAGCCCCCATGGCTGTCCTGCCCAGCCCCGTCCCCTGCCCAGCCCCAGCCTCCCAGCACTTTAAAAAAAAAAAAAGGGGGCCCTGCACTCACTAGCTGCAGCAGCAGAGATCAGGGCCTCTGAGGTCTTGTGGCAAAGCCCTCCACGTGGTGGGGGGCAGCAGGGAGTGTCCCCCCTGCCTGGCACCTGCACAGCAGTTGCCCCATGGCGCGGGTGCAGCATGGCTTGGCAGGGTGCTGCATGCTGTCTGGGAGCTGGGGCCGCTGGGGCTGAGTGGTGCTGGGCTCCGGCTGACTGCTGGAGCTGCCCCAACTCCCAGACAGCGCACTGTGCCCTGCTGAGCTGCGCTGTGCCCATGCAATGCGACAGCTGCCATGCAGGTGCCAGACAGGGCGGGGGGATGATCCCTGCTGACCCCCACTACCCTGTGCTGTGTGCTGGGGCTCTGCCATGAATCCCAGAGGCCCTGATTGCCACTGCTGCAGCTGGTGCTTTAAGCCCTACATTCACCGGCTGCAGCAGTGGCTATCAGCGCCTCTGGGCGCTCATGGCAGAGCCTCCCCCGTGCAGTGGGGGACAGTGGTAGCTATCGCTTTGTATGGATGTAGCGTGGATCAGCAGGGCACAGCACACTGTCTGGGAGCTGGGGTAGCACCCAATTAAGCAGATCAGCTTCATTTGATAACATATATTTCTAGTCTGAGATAAGTTTTTCCTGAGAAAATTGGGGCTGATTTGAGTTAATTTTCATTCAAGTAACGTGTAAATGACTGCCTCTTTTGATGCAAGTAAATGCCTTGGACAGTCAGACCTGGGATAAACCTGACATCTGTTTTTATCTAGACTGAACCAGGAGGTTGATTTTCACTGACAGCCCAAGAAAAGACATACCATGATATTTCAGTACATTGGGTATTTGGTATCTGGCTGGCAATTCATTCAGAGGCCTATAACTAAGTTACCAGATTTTGTCCTATGTTCTGCTTGAGATCTTAGTTCTCCCAGGCTTTGGGATACAGATTTTCTCTAATCTGTTTCTTTTGGTGAAACGGAGTGGGGACCTGACAGCATATTCATTCTAATATAGCATTTGAATTGTGTCCCTTAAAGTTAATAAAACTATCATTTTAATGTACATGTGTTTAATTAAAACTTCAGTATCAGGTTTGGAAGGCACAGAACTGATAATAGCTTCCCCACATTAAATAGCTGCCCCCCTAAATAAAAATAAGTACCCTATGTTGTCACAAATAGAAAAAAAATTAGAACAGACCATGGTAAGGTATTTTAGGGTTGTCCTCGAGCAAGAAGCCATCCTAATTGACTGAAAAAGAAAACTGAGTACAAAACATGACAGATACTGCCTGATCATTACAGCCCACATACTTTAATGATTTCCTTTTGGTCTAACTGTAAATTAGCATAACTGTAAGGGAGCATAATTCAAGCTACTGTGAATTTTCTCTTCCTCCTTTTCTGACTGACATGCACCAGAACAAGTATATAGTTATTGCTATACCAATAATACATTTGTACTTGTTCTTGCGTTCCCTCCAATGGCATTTTAGATACAATACAATAGCAGAAAGTTCACAACAGCTTTTTTCTCTAAAACCATTTGGAAATCTTTTTGAGAGGTTTAGTCAACTTCCCTTTATAAAAGCAAACAAACAAATAAAAAAATCAGTTAAAATAAGCAGAGACTTTAAATGTAGCGCTATAGAACAGGCTTTTAATAGAGCAACTTATCTTTGGTTTTATCTAGTTGCAGGGATGTAGTAAACAAAAATAATTATTATGTAAGGTAAATTATCGTTGTTGAGAAATAAATGATTTATTCACAATTGCATAGAAAACAAAAACATTGTGCCAGTTCTCATGAATCACTTTCAGAACAGATGCTGCAGAAAATCTTGTATTCTATATAATGAGCTGTAGTATTTAATTATTCTAAAGGTACAGTACAATGACAGATTATTGTTGTTCATATCAGTGTAATAAATTGAAACTCCCTGATCATACTTTTCATTTTACACATTGTCAGAACCTTGGACCTTAATCTTGTTCTTTGATTGACAGTGGCGGCCAGGGAAAGAGCACTTGTATTGTTTGTGATAGTCGCATCTGTTCAACTTGATTCAGTTGAGAGTATTTGCATATTCTTAAGTATTTCTTCTGAGAGGGCCTAAATCCTTCTCAAGTGTTTGATGCATTTTTGAAATTCATTCATAAGGTATCTACATGCACTAATAGTTCTGTATTATATTGCTGTGCATAATCTGACAGATAAGGCTAGTTTTTTAAACAAGGTATTCTTTGGGGATGACATATTACATTCTGACTTATTCTACTGGGCAGAAATGTCAAGTACTTTGAAAAAGGATGCTTGAATGTTTTGATTGAATTACTATTCTTTATTCAACATAAATTGTCGACTGTAGTTAAAGTGTAGATTTATTATGGGAATCTTTTTTAGAAGAGTTAACAGCAGGGCTTTTTTGTTTTGTTTTGTCACTAGACATATATAATTATTTCTTTATTATTATGCTGCGGTTTGGGGACTAAACTGTTGTAGCTTCTTAGATGCATTTTTTATTAATGTGTATCTGTATTCTAAATGTGAGCAACATCTTTGTATTGAAATAAAGATAAAGTCAGTCTTTTGTTTTACTCTTTTTTTCCTCAAAGGTGTTATTATTAGTTCTAGAACTTTAGAAATCTGAAACTCAGATTATATGGAAACAATGTATGTTAGAAAGAAAATATCTCAATGAACTATGTCATTTAAGTTCAGTGCTTAAACTCTAGTCTATGCACAAAATAATACATATGTTACTGTTACTATACAGTACTTCAAGGTTTTTAAAGGCAATATAGAAATAGTAATTTTCACAACTCATTTATAAGATGGGTAAGCACCATCAGTCCAGTACTGAGCTATCGACCTGCAACTGGATTGATACAGTTAGATTTTTTTGCCCATGCAGAGTCCTATCAACTTTAGTGAATATATGAGTCTCCTGTATGGATCCCATATCTGGATCAAAGCCTTAGTTATTTAGAGTCTGATCCTCTGGGATCAGAAGAAAAGCTTTTATTCAGTGGGCTAAGCCTTTCCTCTAAGTTCACCCATAATAATTGAGCCAGGCTTAGAACTGAGTTTGTATCTCCAGACAATACTTCCCAGGCTGTATTGCCTCTCCTGTTGGAGAAAGAAAAAAAAAAAAGAACAACGTAGATCTATTCAGGATGTGGGTGTTTTATTGTTGTTCTTTATGAAATTCCAATTTTTATATGTTACAACTCTTTCCTTTTTGCTTTCTGTTTACTTTCAGGAATCGCCTTCTGGACGTAGAAAAGCGCTTGCCACCAGCATTATCAACATGAAGCAATATGCAAGCCCCATGCCTACACAGACAGATGTCAAGTTAAAATTCAAGCCTTTGTCTAAGAAAGTGGTATCTGCCACCCTGCAGTTCTCTTTATCATGTATTTTCCTGAGGGAAGGAAAAGCCACGTAAGTTTTTCACCAGATAGGCTGCTTTGTGTTACCTTTCAAAGAACTCTGTGAGTAGAGAGCACTCTAGCTGTATAGAATGGCAGGAGTTGAGAGTATCCTTCAGCATAGCAATCATTCTTGCCATACTTTTGTTTCTGAGTCTCAGTGAAAGTAGTTTCCTATTCTGACTATGGTCTCCTATTCACCAGAGACCCAAAATCAACTCCTAACTTTTAAAAAGCTTGCATCAGCCTAAAAATATCCACAGCTTTGAAAGAGAGCAGAAGTTAGGGGAGGTTTGGAGTGAAACATCAGGGTTTACTCAAAAACATACCTAGAAGAAAGGTTGGGGGGAGGCTAAGTAGAAGCACTCCTTTTCCACAAGAACCGAAAAGAGCCTAAGCCTATTATTGCAGGGTTAGGATGAAAGGGGCAGAGGGATCGCTCTTGGGTTGCTCAGGGTAGGGTTCAGTAAAACCACCTCACTTGCACGTTGATCTTCCCATTTCCTATGTAGCATGACTGTCCTATTTATTTTACCTCAGCAAACCTCAGAGCAGAGAGGCTAGGGATTGTCTTTCCAGATGCTCTTCCCTTTATTTTTAAAGCATTTGAGGCACTATGCCTGCTTTTGTATCAAAGGGGGCAGAATGTTTGGCAAATTGGCTCATTTTCTGTCCCTTTCTTTCCATATAGAATATGAGAATATGGGGCTGGCAGGATAAAGAGATGGTAGAACAGGTGGTTTTTCCATGTCTGCTGATTTTTTTTCTGGATATCAGTGTCTTGTGGACAGCTTTGACTGTCCGGAGGGTGACAGTTGATGCTTCCCACCCTTATACAGCATGTGCCCTGTCTCAGAACTGTTGATAAAAGGCATCCCAGACTTTTTCATTTCGCTGTCTTGATTTTGGCATGAAGAGTATCTTAATTGATCATACGTTCTGCCATTCGCAATTGCACAGAAAACCTCCTTTCCCATTTGCTATCCTAGGCCATCACTTTGGAGACCACAGTATATGCTCATTTTTTTTAAAATAATATTAGCAATGTATGATTTTTTATCTGTCATTTAATGCAGTTTAGCAATTGGAAATGAGGAGGAGAAGTTAGCCCCATCTTTTTGAGGCTCATCAAGAGTCCATGCAGAGGAAATCTCTGTCTTAGGCTACGTGATACTGCTGCTTTAAGCCCTGACTCATGAAAAGTATATCTCTTCAGATCGGCACATAATTAAAGTTTCACTGAAAGTGATAGTATTCAAGAATATGCTTAATGTTATGTATAGGTTAACAGCCAAAAGCTGAAGTAGCATCAGCTTGTTTTTAAGGAAGTACTGTTTCAATTCATAAATAACCTTAAAAACAAGTGGAATATCTTCTCTTCTGAAAAAGAAATGAGAAAAGTGTAGGTGTGGTCTAGTACACATTACAAAACTATGCACTGGACTAACATTGACTCATATCTTCTCTAGGCTATCATAATTTTATAAAGTTTAGAATCCCCTAATGTGTTCTCAACTTTCTTTTATGATTTTCTAGGGAACTAATTTAACTCATTATATTATAACAACAAAATCCCTATATTTGTGATCATTTTCTTTTGATTTAAAAAAGAGAAAAAACTTTTTAGCCTTACCAGAAAGTAATTACAGGACTTCAAATAGAATTACATGAGAGGTTTTTGCTTTTTTGTTGAATCTTTCTTATTGAATAAAACAAGGGTATTCTACATGTGTTTACAGAATAATAAAATAAGAAAAATAAAAATATTTCTTTAGGAGGCCTCCTCACTTCCAGAACACAGATGAATTGTTGCATTTGAGATCTAAAGGCCTGTTGTTCCCATCATCACTGTATACAGAAGAATAGTGAGTCTGCAATAAATAGGATTTTGTATTCTGGCTGTGCTGATAGAGCATTTAATTTGTTTGGTTCAAGAGTTGGCTTTAAATTATTGATTATCGAGAAGGTGGAAACAACAGTAGAGGATTTTCTGTATGTTTAACTTGATAGACTATCATCTTGGAACTTCCCCCTCATTTTTGCTAGAAGACTCTAGGGTTTATACCTGAGTATGAGTTGCTAGTGTGCATATTTTATTGTGAGGGTTTCACAATAACAGGTGGATCTTTCCAATATCTTGATGGCTATTTATTGAATATTCTTGTTCTTAATTATTGTTATTCATATCACAAGAGCACTTAGAAGCCTCTAGTAAGCTATAGGACCTCATTTCATTTAGTAGCATACAAACACAACAGAAAAGAAAATTCCTGTCCCAATGTTTACAATTTAAACAGGCATTAAACCCATTGAAACTATTCATGTGTGTTATGTAACTCTTGTATGTGTGTGCAGAATTTAGGCCTAGATTGTGCATATCTGTTAGTTCCTTATCGTATACAATAGCTTTTAAAATAATTTTCATTAATGCTATGAAAGTGTCAGACATCAAATCCACCCATCCTGTTTTATCATGATCATCTTATAAAGTGAGAGAAAGGAAATTAATGATATTTTACTTGCCCATTTAAAAATATTGATTACTGTGAGCAAGAGGGTGAATAGACTGTTGCAAAGTTACTATAAAATAGTATAATCAATATAAAAACATTGAAAGGAGTCTTTAAAAAAGGGATGAGGCCATCCACACTTCAAGAATGACATCAAATGCTTAAAGACATGTTGGTTACTATGGAAATGCACTTAGAACATTCATTGCTTTAAATCTTTTGCCTACAGCCATGTTTTCAGCAAGCTTCAACTGTAATCAACACTTCAGTGGTACATGCATGCAGGGACAGATGTTGGCCCTTCAGATGGAAAAGTTTTCCTAGCTAATGTACTAGTGCGTTTATGAAAGGAGTTCACGTTTACCAAACAGTATCTTGGAGTTCAGAAGATGTGGTTACAGATCACACACAGTGCATAGAAGCAGGGGGCTGACCAAGTATCCTCATCTTATCCTCATCTTAAAACAAGGAAATTACTGTTCTCTCTAACTTCTGGACTGATTAAAAAATTTAAAATGAAAGAGTTAAGCTAACACTTAATTTTTTAAATCATTTTGTAATGGGAAAACTTGTAATGTAGAAGTAATACTATGTACATGTAGTTATATCTTATCCAAAGCCCATCTAGATTGACAGTTTAAACCAGGCTCTCTAATAAGGAAAGGGGATTTTTTTTAATAGTATTTTTTTTAACAATAAAACAGTATCAAGCCTGGCATTAATGGATTTTTTAAATTATTTATTTGGTTTGCTGAAATTTATCATGTAGGGATGAAGACATGCAAAGCCTGGCTAGTTTGATGAGTATGAAGCAAGCTGACATTGGAAATTTAGATGATTTTGAGGAAGACAATGAAGAAGATGAAGAGAACAGAGTGAATCAAGAGGAAAAGGCAGCAAAAATTACAGGTTGGTCTTGTCACAAAGGGAGATATATAAATTATTTTGTTGCTCTTCACTGGCTGGAGAGCAGTGCTGCTGTATATTTTTGCAGCCAGTTTGAAATGCTCTGATGAAGGGGGAGGCCACCTGTCTGCACAAAGCTGAAGTGCACTGAATAGGAAGCACTGTAGGATTCAGAGTGCATCAAATACAGATCTATCCATATCTGGGCTGAATAACTGAGAGTGAATGGTCCTCTTACTAGCAACAGAGATCCAACTTCATCAGGAGTCAAGCAGAGGTAACTTCAGGTGAGCCCATTTTCCCACTGGACAAATGCGAAAGGGTGAAAGAGTGATACTCACATTTCCCAAAATGAAATCAGTAAACTGTCCAAGGACTGATCTAGTTCCGATAGTGAGCCATTTATTTTTAGATTCTATAATTAAATGTCTGTCAGACTGTGTTCACACCCCAAAAGAGTTAGTGCATGTAGGAGGGCTTTCATTGTCAGTGCAAATCACATCAGCATATGATAAAACCCTGGCTGGGACGATATAGTTGTGGATGGTCCTGCGTTGAGCACAATTGGACTAGATGAGCTCCTGAGGTCCTTCCAACCGTCCTTTTTTATGATTCTGTGAAGATGTTAAATTGTTAACAGAGGTGGTTTTTAGGCTTTTCAGGCTTTGTAGTTCAGCTGGAATGTCTAATGACTGAAAAAAATCAATGAGAGGGAGAAAGCTTCCACTCTTATACCAATCTTTCCTCCTATCAAGGTACCCTTTTAAATCTAAATAACAGAATGCTTCTGTCTGTAATAAGACTGGTGGGGGAGAGGGTTGGAGGAGAAATACCAGACAGAACTGAGATCATCTTCTAATTCTAAATCTGATGTTGGATCTGTATGGAATTGAATGAGTCTGGGGTATGACGTGACAGATTAGTGAAATGGAACACTGAGTTGTGAAGGACTATTCCTAAAGGTTCATAATGAGTTTGGGATGGGAGCAAGACTAGAAGATCCACTTTTAGTCTACTCTGGCGCTGAAGTGGGTCACAACAAAGCAGTTATGACTGACTTCTCCCTTGAACTGTGAAATACTGCAAATGTTTTTGTCCTATACAACTTTTATCTTCATTTAAAGACTTTCTAATATTCAGAGTCCCCAGAAGGCCAACCCCTTGCTATGACAGTGACCAGGTCTCCATCTCTGCTGGAACTATGGAACTTATGAAGTCCAGAATAAAATATGTAAAATATAGAGACAGCATTCTTGATCACGGTGTGGAAGAAGGCTGGATTGGTCACTTCCAGGATGTGCTGCAAGCTCTTTGTCTCCCACAATGCTTTTCCACTATATTTGCAAAGATTTAAGTACTTATGCAAAACAATGAAATGATCAAATCAAAATAAAGAACAAAAACTAAAACCCACAAGCCTCAAGCAAAATACCCAATAATCAGGGAAGGGAAAGGAGCAGAAGCCCATTATAAATCTTCTGTAAAGACTTCCTTTACAAAGGAAAGGCCTAGATAATACTGTGACAGCTACTATAGCTGCTACTATTAAAAAAGCAGTATATGAAGGACAGATTCTGGTCTTCAGCTCCATCATTTGGAGGGCATCTTTTCCAACAGGCCAAACAAGCAATCCTTTGTATAGGGAATCCCCCATCAACATAGAGCTTATATAATTAAGCTTATACTATTTACTTTCCTGCATTTCTAAATGCCAGAGTCATCTACTTTAGACAGAACTTCAGAACAGCAAGTAGAAGGAAGAAATGGTCAGTACCTTTGAGCAAAGAGTTTTCAACATCCAGTTGCTACTCAGACTGTTTTTCAAGTGTTGTTTTACTAACAACACTGGATGAGTTTGGGGGTTTTCTTTGTTGTTGTAAATGTCATACTCTGTGACCCTCAGGTAGGAAGCCTGAAAGGAAGGGGCCATTCAGAGACTGTTTTGTTTGTACAGCTACGGAATTATTCCCTTAGCCTAAAATTCCCTGTTTTAGTAAGGCAAGAAAAGATGAGTGAATGCACATGGTTGGCCAGAGGCAATGAAACAGCATAATACAAGGACAGTAAGAAATCAGGAAAAAAATAAATGTTAATGATTTGTTCTAGCATCCATTTAAGTCAGTATAAAGACTCCTACTGACTTTTTTGAGGGTTGTATTATGTTCTAGTGGTGCTATACTAATTTAGTGAAAGGAAGAACATATGTACAGAGAAATTAAGAACTAATTGGGGAGACCAGTGTAGACTTACAGGAAAAATGATGGAGTTGGATCAAATAAACACCAGTTTTGAAAAGTTTTAAAGTCTTTAGGTTTGGAATATTGTTGTATCCATGAAGGTCCAGGGGAAATATGAGAAGCAAGGGTTTTTTGATGACATCTTTTGGATAATTTAGAAACCCTGTGCCCCTGACTGTCTTGCTAATGCTAGAACCTTGACTCAACAAGGCCTCAGCTTTTCGAAGGCCTCTTTTCCCTTTGACCCTTTTTCTCCTTAGTTTAATGAGGTCTTAGCTTCTACCCATGTTCACCACTTCCCTCTCCCTTTTTGGAAGATAGTACCAGGTTGGGCTGTCAATCTGTACCGAGCAAAGAGTTTCAAGGCCCTTGCAAACAACACTTATGACAGTAAAGGATCATAGGAAAGTAGGGCTGGAAGGGACTGCACAATAAGTCAAGTAACACATCTTCCAGGAAGATAGCAAGAATTGAAGGAGGTTCAATAGTAAGGGGATGATGGTACACATACCAACCTGGTGAAATAGGATGTACCTGCAGAGACATCTATATGGTGAGTGGTAATTAGTTTTCTTCTGCGATCATTGGAATCTGATTGGTTCCTCTAGGTATTCAATGTATAACAAAGGTATAAAAGATGCAACTTTTCTATTGCACTTTGGACTCATATCCCTGCACATTCCCCTCTGCCAGACTGTCTCATCAGCTAGCCCATACTGTGCAGTAGCTATTAACCAGTTGACTTATACCGACTTGGGTATAAAATTGATAACTCCGTGATGCAGGTATCAAATTTATGCCTGATTAGTTACTGCTCAGTAACACGTGTGGACGCCTTACTGCACAGTAACACTGTGTGTGTGGACTGACTTGGGACTAACTTTAGTCCCAAGTCAGACCACACACAAAATTAATGAGCTTTAACATCTGCACATGTAGACACTGGCCTCTTTCCACTTAATGTGCAGTAAATTTAATGCTACGTAAATGCACATTTAGATGCACCCACTGTATAGTTGGGAGAAATGTTAGACTAGCCTTTGAGCACAAAATGCCCTTTCTCAGGACACTTTGACTTCCTCAAGTCTTCCTGGTCTCTCACTTAAAAGTTCTAGAAACAGATGAAGAAATATAGAAAGCAGGTGGATGGGATGGCAAAGTGTTGTAAAAATAATTATCATTTACAAAGAATTGCATATATAGAAGCACTTAAAAGCTAATTGAGAAAGTGATATAATCCCTTTTGAATATCTGTTCCCCTTACGTTTTCTCATGCATTGCGTGCTTAGAATGCTGAGAGAGATGCTGAGACAGAAACTACTGCATCTTCTCACTGACTCATTGCTCTTAGGCAAGTCACTTAACCTCTGTGCACCTGTTTTCCCAGCTGTAAAATGGGGATAATAACACTTAACTACCTTACAGGGGTGTTGTGAGGATTAATTAGTTAGTGCTTTTAAAAAGGCTTTAAAAAAGTAAAGTACCATATTGTACAAGTAGTAAATATTAAGTTTTATAATCTTGCTTTTAACTCAAGACCTAATCATTCTGATAGCTATTGGTTTTTTTATGGCTTGGAGATTAAAAGATTCCTCTTTTCATGAGTTTAGTTGTGGAGTGTGCTCTTAGGTTTCTGTTAAAAGCTGTTTCTTCTTCATAGCAGTAGCGTATTTGGGCAAAGTTCAGTGATAAAAGTCTACAGTAAATAAATCATTTCATCAAAGTAACCTGGTAAAGAGAGTAGTAGATGGTATGTAAAGTGATCTAAGGTTCTATTCCCAGTTCTTTCCTGTCTTTCTGTGCAATTTGGGGCCAGTCATGCAACTTACCTTTGTTTCAACTGTAAAGTGAATCTTGACAGCCGTTTGGATCCGCCAATGGAGAGCACTTCATGGAAGTTGAATATAATCATAGAAGTTATCATGGATTTGACCTTTATCAAGAACTGAAAAATGTTTTCCATTCTATTATTATTTTTTAGTAACTTCCCCCCAAAACCCATTAGTCTTAAATATCTCACACTTGGTCATAACCTGATTTCTTTTTTTAAAAATGTGAAAAAATTCCACTTAATCTTTCTATATTATGTGAACATGAAAATAGTATACATCTATGTTTTTAATAGAGGCAATTAATTAAACAGTTTAGTTACTGCATCATTTAAAGAGATTGACTTAAAAATGGCACAATTGTCCTGCATTTGGTCTTCTACATGGGCAATTCCTTTGGTAAGTTTCAAGATATTTGATTCACAGTTAACAAAATTAAGCCAGCAGTGCATGCTTTATTATTTCTCTTAATGTTTTTTAATAGTAACATGGACCCTAGTGCTATAGTTGGTGGTAAATTGTCTACTACATCTGTTCAGAACACTAAAGACTTGATTTGGTCCCCCTTGATATCAGCTGTACCAATTTAGTAGTTTAATAAGCAGGGTGCAGATTGTGTGGTACCATCACATGTAACACACATTTTTCTCCACTTAAAAAGAAACTAGAAGCTTTACTTATATGCGAGGGCCCATGGCTGTATTATTCAGTTTAAGATTGAAGCAAAAAACAAATAACTTTATTGGAATATGTATTACTTTGCCATGTCATATATTATGTAAAAAAACCTCACAACCAACTCAGTAAAAAAAAAAATCAAAAGATGTTGTTTCGTTAGTTCTATGGTCATTAGAATTAAATGTACATCTTTTTTAGATTCATAAAGCAAAATCTAGTTTTCTTAAGCATCTCGATTTTGCATCCATTATTTCATTGT